CTGATATCATGATGTTGTTATTATTTTCGATGTTTTACATTAGTATGAGTTTCCACGGAGCACAGTGTCATAGTGCTCACTCCCCAGTTTTATCATGTTTTTCAGGTCAGGACGTCGGGCCAGGAGCATGAGCGTGACGTGGCGGGGACTTCAGGATATTTATGTTTTGGACTGTATAATTATGATAATGACTTACGCTTCCGCTTATGATATTCTGATGACTTGTGACGATATTTTTGATGACTTTTGACGTACTCGTTCTAACGAATTTATCTTTTGACGAACTTTTGAGAACTTATGATTTCAGTAGACCGGACGATTTTATTAAAAGTAAAATAACGGTTTTTCTAAGTTAAGTCACGATTTTTAAAGGTAGCACCCCGAATCAGTTTTCGCAAAGTAAAAAGGTTTTATTTTAAATAACTTTGCGAAATTTGTGCTACTCTGATTTTACGATAAGGAGGGGTGTTACAATTGGTATCAAAGCACGTTTCTGCGTCTCTGAACAGATTTTCAGTCAGTAATTTTTCAGAAAAACCTGAACCGTCATGCTCACGCCCCGCCGACGACAGGTAAGTGCTGATTCAGTTTTTCAGTTATAAACATATTACTTTGTCTATGCTCAGAATTAAGGATCGGGACTTTAGTTAAGATGCTCGAATCAGGTTCAGACTTTAGAGTTCGGACATGACTCTAGAATTCAGGTATTCAGATATGACTCTAGACGTTAGGATTTTCCTATATGACTCTAGAGTTCTTCAGGATTCATGTCAGTAATTATCGGCCACTTTTGGCGACTCGTCAAGAGATTTGTGTGCCTTAGTAATCAGCCATAATGTTATCACGTATTCAGTAATGTTAAACTTTCTCAACGTTCAGATGCCGCCCCGTAGGGAACCCGATCATCCAGTTTTTATTCAGGCCACAATAGTCGCACAGTTCCGCGACTATCATGTTGAGAAATTCTCCGGGTAGGAAATCCCTGTATTGGGGACGAGTGGATTCAGAACCTAAGTTTAAGAACTCTAGATTCAATTCTAGATTTATTCAAGTCAAGTTAGTAACTTGTCAGAAGATTTGTAAGCATTGTGCTAAACAAATCTTAAGAATCATGTTTCTCAGAAATTGTTATCGAGAACTGCCATTTTGTCAATCAATTGGCATACGCCAGGGAGAAATTCCTTGATTTAATTCGAGGAATAGACTCAAATTTCCTAAATCAGATCAGTAAATCATATTCAAGGCAAGAATTTTCATGTTAAAGGTTGTTATAATTCTCAAGTCATTGTTAAGGTAACGGTTTCCAGTGTATAAGAGTCAATAGTCCGGGTTACCATGGAGGCTTGAAATAAGAGCCACTCAGCCGGGTATACCATGGAGGCTTGAAGCTGGGGCCGAATCAGTAAGATATCATGTAATAACAACCTTTCAAGTCCGTCATGTCAGACATTTTATCAGTCATGATATTTTAAGTTATGACTTTCAGAAATCAAGATCAGCTAATTCCTTTGTACTTGCGGGACCAGTTGATACTGGAGCAGCCCTATATAGTACAGAGTTCAGGTTCACGATTTACAGTTTATGTTCATGATGTAAGGTCGACGTATAATAGTTGTTCAGCCGGGTAAAATGTGGCGGTCTGATATACAGGCCATTAGTCCAGATTTACCTGGAAACTTGAAGTCGTACCTTATCAAGTCAAGTAAGTCAGTAAATATCATGTTTTCAATCGCGAAGCGACTATTTAGTTGTCTCGGGATAGTTTTCAGAGTTCGGATAAAGATGGTTCAGTTATGTAAGAGTCAAGACATGGTTATTCAGTTAGGTGAATATTCAGGCCAGTCATGTCAAGATCGAGGATAGTCTGTCTGGTAAGACAAGACTTATCTACCATTTTCAGTATGTCAGCGCCTCGATTCTCAAATTCTGAAGAATCTGAGAAATCGTGGGAGATATTAAGTCATGAGGGACTTCTTCTTGAGGTTAAGTTTAACCTCGAAGGGAGTAAAAAGTTGCAGGTACCACAGGTTGACATTCGCCGCGATGAAGAAGAGCCAATCGACAACAACGGATCGTGCCATGATGGTAAACCGATGCTTTCCATTCAAAGATGCCATGTCTGAGCCTCAGTACACTGGGAGATTACAGAGAGAGTCTTCACCACCAGCAATCTGATTGGAGATCCGCCAGCAGCCAGGAGAGGATGACCAATATATTTCAGAGTTTCGTTTTAAGATCATGTCTTATCAGTGGAACACTTTCTTTCAGAAAAGTG